CTCACACTTTATTTATTATAAAAAAAAAAAAAAAAAAAAAAAAAAAAAAGTCAAGAGAACTTAGAATCGATGAACACTGCCAGTGAACTAAGGTTTTATAAACAAATGGGACACAATAAATTCCTCATCAGAGAATAATCAAAATAACTTCAAAGTCCTAGCAAAGATGAATAATATAAATAAATAAATAAATAAATTCAAATAAAAGCAGAACAGCAATTGTTGTAAAAACATACTAATAGATTCAAAAACAAAAACAGAACCCCTATCCCAAGTACACGGATTGACATCCAAATTCCTGTGTAAATTTAACTCCAATTTAGAGAAGCGCCAAAAAGAAAAATCCACAAATCTGTCACCAAAAGGCCACATCTTACTAGTGTATAAGAAAGTAGATAATAAACAAAGCCCTTTCATCGATTAATGCATAATTATTATAAGTTCAAAACAAATATCAGTACAATACACACAGAAACAATAGTCAACCCATAAACATGAAACCTAAAATCTAATCAAATTCACAGAAAAGAGATTAGACCTGAAGCAGAGATAAACAGAGGGCGGAAAGCTGGAGATGGGACAAAAAGGGAGAGAGATTATCGAGCAGCGCAATAATGGATTAGGGTTAGGGATTTGCAGATTTTATATAAATATATATATATATATATATATATATATATATATATATATATATATATATAATGGGTCGTGTCTAGGGTTATATATAATGGGTTGGGTCAAGTGTTAGATTTTGGGTTGGGTTTTGTTTTGTTTTTATTTTTTTGGGCCGAATTTTGGTAATATAAATAATAACTTTTTTTTTTGGTGTAAACCACACATTGTGGTCCGGGTCTTTCTCTGTCAGTTTAACGATTCAGGTCCACCCGGTTCGCTCCGAGAGGCACAGAAGCTGGCCCAAAGGGAATTCTCCCCCACAAAGAGAGCTCATTTGTCATTTGAGCTACCCTGTTGGGTTTTATAAATAATAACTTTGATTTTGGGCAAATTATACCGTGCATCAGGACGCACAATGCATTGTGCGCCCTAAGAGTTTATGTGTATTATGTAAAAATTGATGTGTATTATACTAAAGATTTATGTGTATTATGTTATGAGTTCATGTGTATTATGTATTATGTTAAGATTATGTATATCATGTTAAGAGTTTGTGTATTTTACTATAAAATTATGTACATACGAAATATGAGATTGTTAAGGCGCCCAATGCATTATGCGCACTGATGCACGATATAACAATTGTTGATTTTGAGGGTAAAATAAATGGGCTTAATAATAGAGCTAGTTATTATGTTCAATAAATGAGCTGGGGTTTGGTTACATAAATTTATATTAATGTGTAATTATTCTTTTTTAATTATATTAACTTTATATTTATAATTTATAATAATATAGAATTGATGTAATCGTTCCATCTATTTTTTTTTAATTTTTTTTTTTGAATACTAGTGACTCTATTACAATGTAGTATCTGTTCGAACATACTTTCTCAATCTAATGAAGCACAAAGAGTCAACAACGCCTCCACTGAGGCTCAATCTCATGACCTCCCATAGTCAACAACGCCTCAACTGAGGCTCAATCTCATGACCTCCCACATGGAAGAGGTCACTACATGTCATCTGAGTACAATGTGCTTGACATTTATTAGAAGTTACAATTTTTTTTTGTTTTATACTTATAATAATTTACAAACTTTGACGCATGTTGGACCTTCTGATATTCCTTCGGTAGGATGTTGTGATGTTCAATATGAACAAAAAACTTAGTATTGCTAAAGAAAAAGGAGAAAAAAATGGCAATGACTTCCGAGATATCTTTATTCTATCATTTTAATTTATTTTATAAAACTTATTAAGATATATTTAAATTTACACCGTGCATCGCACTGACAAAACACTAGGCTTCGAGATGAAGAACATGAGCTTGAAGGTTACTTCAACAAATGGAACTTGCTATGGAAGGCAGTCAAATGTCATTTTGGCATAAATTTTCACGTTTTCTACCTGATTTTTTTTTTTATTATTATGTATTTTGTTAAATACCTAAACATAAAATTTATATTATTAAAAATAAATTATATCATTTAAAAGATTTTATTAAGACGATTAAAACAAGAATAACATATTGAATATAACTAGAAGTGAGAGTACTTTATCTCAAGATTTTTTTTTACTCGACATAAACAAATAAAATATAAAAAAGTGCATTATGCACTTCGTAATACATTACTTGAGCATATGCGGGAACGATACGATAATTCTCAAAATTAAACGTGATGGATGTTATATTCTATATTATTTTGGAATAAAAATATTATTTGCATTACAATTATATTTTATATTTAAATAATTAAAGTATCAATATAAAGTTTTAATTATGATAATACAAATTATTTTTGCATAGAAATAAAAATTGATGTAAATGGGTTAGAGATTAATAAAATTTGATGCAAAAATATACTAATATTATTTTTTTATTTTTTTTAACGTAAAATTTGGTGTAAAATTTAATATTTTGAATTGGAAATGATCTAATATTAGATACTCCATAGTAGGTTATATGTATGAATGTACAATCTTCATTTCGTATATGACAATATAAATGGTGTTAATTGAGCACCTTAGCTAGCTACTAACACTTTAATTTAAATTTTAATACAAATATACATATTATGTTATTATAACGGGAAATTCTATTTGCACCACCCTAATGCTATTTCGTTGATGGATAGTAGGTTCTCAAACCATAATGCTCGCCTTTGTTCCTCTCATATGAAGGCAAGCACAACAACCATGCTCGCTTATGTTCCTCTCATATGAAGGCAGGCACAACAACCACCTCTATTAAACATGTACATCTGTCATGTTAGACTGAGATTATCTTTCAATTTGCCCATTTGCAAAATGATGTGGCATTTGCTACATACATCATTTATATATTTTTCTTAAGTAAAGGGATTTGCATCTGATAGCAAATTTGCTGCGGCAGTTTTGTACTTTAAAAAAAATATATTACTTTTTAATATTTTAATGTAATTAATATAAATTATAATGTTATTTTAATATATTAGGTCTACCTTTTGAAAATTGATTGGATTTGTAAGGATATAGTGTGAATAGTAAATCATTTGCAAATTGAGTGATGTAAAAGTGGAACCCATTTTTTAAGATGAGAGAGATTTGTAAGAATAATGTTAGCCTTACATGGACAAGATCTGAACAATATTATGGGTGTCTAGTCCATTAACAAATAGCCACATTAGTTGTTTGTCAATAGTTATGATGTGCAACCGTGGTGCACACGGTTGCAAAACGACGTCGTTTTGACTAAAAACACGTGTCCCATTTTAAAAAAAAAAAATCAATTTTGATTCTCCTCAACAGCATTATTGTGGATATATAGTTATGAATTTGTGGATATGTAGTTCATTCATTGTGGATGTTTAGTTCATTCATTGTGAATATTTAGTTCATTCATTCTGAATTTTGTGTTATTCATCCACGGGATATATAGTTATGAATTTGTGGATATATAATTCAAATTATGCAAAAAAAGAAATGCTATTGCCGGAAATCGAATCTGAATTTTTTTTTAAGTGGGACGCACGTTTTTAGTCAAAACGACGTCGTTTTTGCAACCGTGTGCACCATACGGTTGCACAGCATAATTTGCGGTTGTTTGTCAACGGAAATAGTTGATTGTTATTAGTTGTTTATAAAAATAAATAAATAAATAAATAAATTTTAATAAATATTTTAATAAAAATGATTTTTTTTTTAAAAAAAAAAAGAAGATAAAGTTATCCAAAATAATACTAGGAGGAACGAAGTACACCATTCCATAAACGGCATGATTTGAAAAGACCATCCATGCATAATATTTTTAATTTTTATTTTTAAAGAAATTTCAAACTCTCATAAAAAACTTGAGAATATGCTCCCGCATGCCAAAAAATATTACTCTCATTCCACTCTGGAGCTTTAATAACATTCTTGCAAACTTGAACATCCCCACTTGGATTCAAAACAATATTAATGGCACTCTTTTTTTCTTGACTTGTATAAATAATCTTCTTTTCTTGAGTTACCAAATCTATAGAAATTAGATCCGGCCGTTCTTGAAAAAAGGAACATCACTGTCTTCAATATCATCATTCATGAAGAAGTCCGGATTCAAATAGCTCACAAGCATTAGTAAATGGCCACTTGGATTCCAAATTCCTACTGGCATCCACTGTTCACCCATGCTATGGACGAGTATCCTTGCTTGTTTATGCCAATTAAAAATGTTATTATTTTCCTCCATTAACCAAATGTCAAAATAAACCTTACCCTGTTCATCAGGGGGAAGAATGGGTTGACTAACACACACAATGGTCTCATTCATAAACGTAAAGAAATTAATTTTCAATTCAAATGGAGTATTAATCATACCAAAAACCTCATCATCCATGTCAAACCAAATCAATCCAGGCAAACCGTACCAATAGTATTTTCCTTTGAAATAAAAATCACCAAAATATGCAGACCTAAGTGAATCTTTAAGAGCTTGTGGAACATCTACTTGCCTCCAATTCCATGAATCATCTACTTGGCTACAAACCATTACAATTTCATAACTATCATCACAATTGGACTTTACATCTTCAAAACTCAAAAGCATGATAACCTTCCCGACGATATTGTTAGACAACCCAAATCCAAACCGCATTACAGGTGATTTGTTGGGCACCTTAATTGAAGGTAAGGCCATAATTTCCATAGTGGATGGATTCAATATGAAAACATCAACAGTTGAATCACCCTTAATTCCATTTATAATCAGGCATAGCATACCATCACAACACTTGATGTATCTGAATAATCTTGAATTTGGCACGTCTAGGTATATGCATCTAGTCTCATTAGACTCTAAATCTTTGTAGACCAAGTAAAATAGCAGACTTTCACCATCGGCAGAATTAAACTCTATGACAGCTCCACCAGTTTTAGTTCGACTAAATTCAAAGTGTTTTTGAATGAATTAATGATCGTTTTTAATTAAATTATAGAAAAATTTACAAACACATTTCAACCGCATAAGAGATCTTACGGACAATCTGGTCAAAATGTTAATCACCAGATCGCTTGGTAATTCGCAGTTTTCCATTTCCGATTGATATTCCAGATAGAAATTTTGAAAAGTCAAATGATTCAATCCTCAAATCAATAACTTATTGAAAGATCCAAAACTCTACCATCCACCCAATTCAAATTTGAAGCGAGCAATAGAGGAATGATGTACCTTCCGTCGTGACGTTTGACAGTTTGAGTGAGAAGCAGAAACCGAGACGACTGAGAAGCAAGGGTAGGGCCAGAGGGTGTGAGGGCTTCACCGCCGCCGGAGGGCAGAGACACAGAGGAACGTCGTGAGGAAGACGAAGGGTTAGTAATGAGTAGATTTGGGTTTGGGTTAGTAATGAGTATATATAATATGTGCAATAAATAAGTATATTTATTGATTTGTTGTGTGTTTGTTACGGAGTATAATTTAGAGTAAATACTCAAAATGGTCCCCCGACTATAGCTAAATTCACAAATTGGTTCTCGACTTTCAATTTCAACTAATTAAGTCCTTAACTTTGTAATTTTGACACGATTTGGTCCTCTATCTATTTGATCGTTTGTTGACCGTGATCGACGATTTCCAGTAGAACCTTCAGCTCTCGTCGGAGCACGTGGAGGCCTCCAGGATGACGTTGCACTGGTTCGGAAACACGTCGTCTTTTTCGCTCTGGTACGAACTCAACTACATTGAATCCAAAGGGAGGATGAAGAAAGGTGATCGGATTTGGTAATTGCTTTCGATAGTGGGTTCCAATGTAACAGTGCGGTCTGGAAATGCAACCAGAACCTTAAAAATTGACGATGGACCATGAAATTACATATATATCCTCAAAAATCACAGTCAACAAACGGTCAAATAGACAGAGGACCAAATTGTGTTAAAATTACAAAGTTAAGGACTTAATTGGTTGAAATTAAAAGTCGAGGACCAATTTGTAAATTTAGCTGTAATCGAGGGACCATTTTGGATATTTACTCTATAATTTATGTATAAGATTATATCGAATAATCTTCTATACTATATATACATACAAAGATTATATATGGGGTGGGAGTGGGGTGAGGGAGCAGCTGCTGCCCCCTGCCCCCCCTCCCCCTTTGGCTCCGCCCCTGGTCATCCCTACGTATACACAATAATTTGTTATAGAAGAAAAATAAATAAAATGTTTACTTTAAGGGTAGAAATGTCAATTTAATATATCAGAGAGGAAAATCGTAACTTTTAGAATAATTGAGGGGCTAATGCTAACATGAATAATTCAGGGGGAAAAGTGTTATAAGTATATAACTTAGGGGAAAAAAGTATCAATTTCTCTTAATTAAATTTTAAATTAAAAAATTATTAATTACACCTCATAAACGAGTTTGACTAAGATGGTGCAAATAGCAAAATGTACCATCATTTAGCTATTTATACCACCTATTAATTATTAAAAATTTTCACATTTTTACAATCTCAAAATGCTTTATACCAATTTTTGGTCAAAGGGTGGTGCAAATAGCAACACCCTATTATAACATAGGTAGATCTCCATATGCATATCTAGACTTTGTGGCCTGGTGGGATCCTCACAATTATTACATTAAGAATTTGCAAAGTTGTGTAAAGTCTTGATGCTTGGGATCATTTCTTATTATTAACTACCTAACTAGACTAAAATCATACACTTATATGTTCCACTCCATTATTGCAATATATAAAGACTAACAAGTCTTGCTCCTCTAGTGAAAGGTTCAAACTTTAACATTGTTGTCAATTGTGCAAGCCTTCCCATTTCATGGACCCCGGATTCTGCAGTTTGCATGGGAATAGTGATTCTCATTTGATCCTATATATATCAGTATTGTAAAAATCGATCTAAGTGGCCATCTGGACACTGACTAGACACTAGGCGCCCTTAGGCCGAGGCGATTTCAGCCTTAGGCGGCTTAAACCGAAGTAATATTGTAGCTTGGAAACCAAATATAGAAAAGGGAATGAATACGTTCCCGGTATACTACATCAAAATTTACTTTGGTGGCCGCACAATCAGCAGAAGTCACTCGGCTTCCCCACCTTAATGTTTTGTGAAGCTAAGTACTCGGTGATGGCGTTCTTCTGCCACCCCTTGAAGCTCCTGCACCAACATCAAAGTAAACGAGGAGGTTTATACGCCATGAAGCTTTTACGAGGGTTTTTGCACTTGCAATGGGAATGGGGAACCGAGTTTTTAGTGAAACGCAAAAAGCTTTTGAAACGGTACTTACTTCTGATCAAGATGAGCCAAAATTTCACCGCCAGGGAAAGCTTCCCTCGTGGCGTCAAAAGCTGCTTTTATCGCTTGTCGCCAAGTGCCTCCGATCTCTTCTGCCTTCACTTTCGACTGCCCAGGATCTTCCATCGGCAAGGAATACCCCGACAGGAGATGACCCACCCAACAACCGTCTTTCCTGGATAAAGAGAAAAAATCGATTTGATAGTGTTTAGAAACATAACGACTATAGAATTTGCTCGGATGAATAACAGTTAATGTTTTTGAGTTTTGTCACCATACTAATAATCTAATAGGCTTAAATTGGTAGGTAACTGTTTAGCAACAAGCAGTCAATACGAGAAAGTAAGGACATATAACTTACTGGATAATGTCCATATGCCTGGGAACATAATGCCCTCCACCAAGTCCGAGAAGAACTTTATTCTTTGGCGTTGTGCATCTGGTAATAAATCAAGTTTTAAGAACATAATTCAAAATAATAAAAACTATGCAGAAACTGTGGAAGTCATATAATTCAACCCAGAAAAGGAAACTCGAATTAAGGTATAGAAACTACTAAGAAAACTGAGGAAAGAGACAAAAACGAGAAAAGAAAACACTTGAATATTACCCGTCCCAAGTGCCAATAGCAGAACCTTCGCCTAGCCCATGTCCTTCCCAAATTAGCTTACGAGAGCAAGAAAACACCGTTAGGAAAATTCAGTAATGTGACTAACCCGAAATATTAGTTACACAAAAACACAACAGAAGCACATTCGGGCAATAAGTAGATTCAAGCAACATAGATTATTGTAAGAGCTAAACTTCAAGAAACACAATATAAGACGTAGAGAAGTTAAAGATTTTTCAGAAATTTAAACGGTCAATACAAAGTATACTCACTAAAGCAACAACACGAGCAGCATCCTGCCTCTTCCAGTACTCCTCCGTACTCCCTATTTCATTTTTGTAAAAATTAGATAAAATTGTTACAAATGAACTACTCACATCTGCAATGATGACAGAATGCGGGAAAAACAGATGTATAATGAAAGAGGAGGAATCCAAAATGGGAAGAAGTGGAAAGGTAAAAGAAATACAAAAACAAAGTGACCCTTTTTGTCGGGCCACCTTCATTTGAGGAACAAAAACTTTGTAAACATAGCATGTAGAGAACTGTTCTAGTACTCTGGACACTCTATCTAATCATCAATAAGTCCTTCGATTCACTCAAGAATATATCAACCATCCACCATTCAAAAGAATGCTTCAAAACATACCATGTTTTAGAAAGAAATGGATCCACCATTGTCAAATTAAGGGTGTGTTTGGTTCATGGGGTTAGCCACAAGGAATGGGAATGAAAGTCATGAAAATTGTTTGGTTGACAATTTTTTAAAACACAGGATATGATTACAGATTATCTGTATAATTACAAAACCCATTACCTAATTTAAATCAGGTATCATTCCATTAATTCAACCTTATCCCTCCTCATTTCATCGCCTCCTCATTTCGTCGCCTCCTCACTCATCTCTCCCCACTTCATCGACTTCCTCGCTTCATCGTCACTCTTAAGATCAATTGTCTTGATTTTTTTTTTTTTTTTTTTTTTTTGCAGTATAGATAAGTATCAGCTATGGTGGCCATGAAAATCATAATGGGAGTTATTTTAAGCTTACCTATTTCAATAAACATTGTGGGCTTGGTAGTGATAGGTCCATGATGAGTAGCCTCCAGAGTAATCTAAAGATAGGAATTAAACATAAGAGAACTAAACTTATGCATATATTTACAGATAAAGATAAAAACTTTGAACACACTTCTTCTGCATACCTCAAACTCAGGAATCAGATTATGAGACTGAGCAATCTTCTTCAAGAGAATCAACCAAGGACCCATCCTAGGATTTGGCGGCGCCGCCCACCCTGGTCTCCCTCCTTGCGGCGGAACATCGCCCTCTTTCAAATGGGGAACTCCTAAAAACCCATATTAAAATCTAAAAAATATGATATACCCAGTGACAATTAGCAATCGCTCGCTTCAAAACTCAATGGATTAAACTTGATACCGATGGGGTGAATGGTGAGGGCGGGGCGGTTAGAGACGGCGGTGTGTTTACTGAGGAAGATGACCTCATCGACGGCCTCGGCGGTGGCCTTTTCCCAGCGAAGATCCAAGTCGTCCTCTTCGACGATTCCCTTGTCGTGTTGGAGCAATCTGAGGTGGCCACAAATGAAGCTTCTAATGACCCCGTCGAGATTGGGCCCGGGAGTCCAACCCGGCATCGATAGCAGCGCCGTTGCCGGGCCATTCGACGCCGGATCCGTCGTCGTCGCCACCACTAATGTCACCATTTCAATGTTTAGGTGAGGAAAATTTGAATTTGGGTATTTATACTGCTTAAATAGCCCATGGTAATTGAACCAAAGACCGCCCCTTGATTCTTGAAAAAGCAAAAGCAAAAGCAAAAGCAAAATTGGAAATTGATTCTGGAGGCACCCGTAGTCCGTACAACACGGATATGATCATATAAACATACAATACACACATATACCATATATATAGTAAAAGTAGAAATTTCCAAAATGTTCTTCGACTCTATAGTCCTTTATCAAATTAGGTGTTACGACTTTTAATTGAATCTAGGAATAAGGTTCAAATTGGCCACTGAACGTAATCTGAAAATGCAATTAGGCCACTAAACGAAAACAAAGTGCAATTAGGTCACTGAGCACTCTAAAAATGTGCAATTTCACCTTATAGCAGGTTACCCTCAATTTTAGCAGGTTATCTGCTTACGTGGCAGCTGAGTTGGCATTTTTAATAAATTTTAAATTATTTTTAATAAATTTTAATAATAAATTTTTATTTAAAAAAAATTTAAAAAAATAAAAACGACTTTATTTTATTTTTTATTTAATTTATTTTTAATTTTTTATAAAATTTATTATTAAAATTAATTATTAAAAATTATTTAAAAATTATTAAAAATGCCAACTCAGCTGCCACGTAAGCAGGTAACCTGTTAAAATTGATGGTAACCTGCTATTCGGTGAAATTGCATACGTTTGGAGAGTTCAGTGGCCTAATTGCACGTTTTTGGAGTGTTTAGTGGCCTAATTGCACTTTTTGTTCGTTCAGTGGCCTAATTGCATTTTCAGGTTACGTTCAGTGGCCAATTTGAACCTTATTCCTTGAATCTAAATTGGTTATTCAACTATTAGATTTTAAACTAAATCGGTCTTCTGTTAGTTAGGCGTGAACTTGGCTGTCAAATTAAAAACTAAAATAGGAAATTTACGTTGTATCATGTTTAGTCTATTAGTACCTTTGGTTTAGCAAACGAACTGTTGAAGCCAGAAAACCCCTAATCCAATTGAAGTTAAGCAAAGGTATCAAAATTCTTCCAGAGCATATCAGGAAATCCTATATTTTACACAACATCTTCAATACATTCAGCAATGGAGTCGAAATCTTTATATAATGAAATATATGAGTTGAATTTCTTGTTTTGCCCCTTAATTTGATGCCATGTTCACGGCCAACTAATGGAGGATCGATTGACTTAAAATCTAATAGTTGTAGGATCAGTTTGGATTTAATTAAAAGTCATATGACCAATTTGAGAAAGGGTCATAATCGGATGACCATTTTTAAAATTTCCTATATATTAAAATATTTGTAAAAATGTATTTAATTTATGGTGTTTTAATTAAATTTGTAGACTTTTTAATATGAAAAATTTTTATATACTCTTACAAAAATTTTAAAACTTTACGATTTATGATCATAAAACTTTTGATTTATGAAATACCATTCATTGGAATAGATCCACCTCACTGTTTGGTTCAATTTTTAGAGTAAGGAATAAAATTTTATGGAATGATCTATTTCATTTGCAAATCGCAATGGGAATAAACATTTCAAGACCCCATTGCTATTAGCTATTTCTAGTATGTTAGGAATAATTATTTGTTACTATTAAAAAAAACACCCTTATAAACCCATTATATATATGCGGTGCACAAACTAGAGAAACTTAGAAGTTGTTTACTAACTGGAAATTTTATCCAGTTTGCTTGAAACTGTATAATAGAAAACAAAAAACATGTTTACTAATACAATTTTTCATTTTGAAAACTAAAAATAATTTTTCACTCTTAAAAACCTTTTTACCAATTGTCATGTAGCTTGTAACTCAATAACATCGCTGTGGCTCTCTTAAATGAGAGATTATATGTATTAGTACATTGTAATAGAGTCAGTAGCACTACCCTAAATCAATAAGTTATCTACTATTGCAGGTTATGTTGATGTGATTTTTACGTGTAATTTTCTTTGTATATATAAATGTCACATAGATTCATGTCAACATAACTTGTAATTTTTCTTTAATTTTATTTACATAAAGAAATTATTTTAAAAAATGTAAAATAGTCTACAGGGTATCCATGTATACAAAAATTTGTCTATACATAAAAGGATGTTTGTTATTTTAGTTACAAAAAGTGTTCCAAAATTTGTCTTGAACCACATAGCAAATGGTTTGCCGTTTCACTTAATAATAACTTTATAATGTTGCTGCCCAGGATCGAACTGGGGACCTTTAGTGTGTAAGACTAACGTGATAACCACTACACCACAGCAACCATTTGGGAATTAAGATCACTGGATAAATTAATCTTAATAAGTTTTTTTATAAAGTTAGTTTAGTTCAAAGAATGTGGGATTACATAGAATAATAGGATTACCTTTTAACAAGTAATAATCATTGAAATATGAGAACGTTCCTCAGAAGTTTTCTGCAATATTAGTTCTGATCTATTAAGGTAAGCGCTTGATTTTAACAAGTCATATCAAAGAAGTTACGGGTTCGAGTCTCAATAAGAATAAAAATTGTGCAATACAATTAATAAGGTTGTCAAGCGCTTAGGGGTGGGAGAGAATTGTTGGGCAGAAGTTGGTGAAGGACCAAAATGACCACCAAATTCAGCACTAGGTGACTAGGGAGATTGTTGAAAATCCATCGATCCCTGAAAATTTGTTCTTAGAAAAGTTAGAAAAGAGAAATTTTTTTTAAAAAAAAAGAGATACAAGATTGTATAAAATATTTCAAATGTTTTTTTTTTTTTTTTTTTTACAACTCTCAAAAAAAAGTTATTAACTTAAAATGTTATATAAAAATTTAAAAATCGAAGACATATCATAATGCTCTTAGAAAGCTAAAGAAGGGGAAGGGCAAATAAACCCCAAATTATTTAGTAAAAGTTAATTGTTATTACAAAAAGTTCCATAATAGTCATCAAACTTTTTAAAAATGTGTAACAAAAACTTTTTTATCAATTGTTAAGTAGATTGTAGCTCAATGATATTTCAGTGGCGCCTCCAAATGAAAGGTCATAAATTCGAACTCCATGTACTTTAATAAATTGAGAAAATATGTATTGATAGTTATTACATTGTAATAGAGTCAGTAGCACTCGAAAATTTTAAAAAAAAAAAAAACTATTTTACCAATAAGTTTTCTGTTATTGCAGATTATGTTGATGTGATTTTTACGTGTAAATTTTTTTATATACATGAATGCCAGCCATGTCAACCATCTAAGCATCCAAAATTTGTCTCTACATAATTAGGAGGTTTGTTATTTTACTAACAAAAAAAGTGTTCCAATTTTTTGTAGTACATACCAGGATCGTTTGCCATTTCACTTACGAAAGAGGAAAAATAATGTTGCTGCCCAGGATCGAACTGGGGACCTTTAGTGTGTAAGACTAACGTGATAACCACTACACCACAGCAACTGTTTTGCAATGAAGGTCACTGATTTAAATATTATACAGTTAGTTTAGTTCAAGGAATGTGGGATTACATATTTACATTGAATAATAGGATTACCTTTTAAGAAGTAATAATCATTGAAATATGAGATTGCCTTCTGTTTTCCGTTGCCATTATTCAAAATATATTCATATTACGTGACGTGAGAAAATGATCACATATAAAAACTGAGAACTGATTTGATCCATCCATTTAGGTAGATTAACGGTTGAGGATTACCGAAAATTAATGGAAAGAAGGTGAGATTCTTTTCATAAATATTGAAACTTAAAAATGTGTAATAATTATATAATTAATCAAGTATTTTTTTTTTCATTTTTTTTTTACTAAACCTTCAACCATTGATTAATCCTGATGGTCGGCTGAGATCTGTCTTCACTTTTTAGTTTTTACCATATGACTCTATTCTCATTTAATCATGTCCCTATATAATAGACTAATATTTTAATATTCTACAACGCAAAAACAATTCAAAATAAAACAACAAAATACAAATAAGCAATGAAAAGAAACGTACCATTTATTATTTATTGGTATATAGTTTGTGAGTAGTATATATAGTTTCTTATATCTAGACCTGTGAGGAGTAGTCTTATGATAGAGGGCGGAGAAGGATCTTAACTCCTTGTTGAGGGCGAAGAGTCAAAACCATGAAGGGCGAATGAACATAATTAGGAGAGAGGATGAAGGTGTAGCGTTGGAGGATCATGGTGAGAGCTATCTTCACTTCCAGTATGGTGAAATTCAAGCCAACACATTTGCGAGGGCCAGTGCCAAAAGTGAAGTACGCCATGGCGTTATTCTTGGTTGCATTAGCCACCCCTTCTGCAAATCTTTCTGGGTTGAATAAGTGGGCATCTTCTCCCCATATCTCTGGGTTATGGTGGACTGCTAGAATTGGGATGTCTATCTCCACTCCTGCTGGGATTGTGAGTTTCCCTATTTTGGTTTTCCTTTTCACTCTTCTCAGGATTGTGAGCACCGGTGCGTATAGCCTGCTGGTTTCTTGGATTATCATGCTCATCTGCATTAATCATAGACAATCTAAGTTTGATTACCTTGTTTGGTTGAATGATCGGAATTGTAATTCAAGGCTGTCATCGTCCACCATGGTATAGTACGTAGCTTGGCCAACGAGTGGTATTTCCGCCAGACTTGTGGTCACGGTCGGAGAGTTACACTAATGGGCCCCACGAACGACGGGGACACTGCGCAACAATATGCACACGGGTACGCAACCCCTTGTCGCGACGTCTGTCGCCAAGGAGTTGCATTTGGCCCAGTCGCACCCCGAGTGGGGCCAAGGGAGGTCATCATTCGCTCCCTTATGCTCGACTAAGGGTCGAGTAGGAGGGCATCCCAATTCGATTGTTATACCATGGACCCAGGGTACATATTGTATTGTGGACCCTAATCTAAAAATTATATGTTTGTAATAGTTTATATATTTTTTATATGCAATTTACAGTTTATGTGCCTATAAATAAATCAAAGGCACATAACATGTTAACTATATAGAAACTATTAAATAATATAGAATATGTTAAGTGCAGACACATAATATGTTAATACTATGTTATGTGTCTGCAGTTAACCTCTATTCTGTACCAATTAATAGTTTATGTGTATAGTTATTATTTTATGTGTCTGCAGTTAACCTATATTCTGTACCAGTTAATAGTTTATGTGTATAGTTATCATTTTATGTGTCAATAGTTAACAGTTATGTGCTTTTAATTTGCTTATAGACACAAATTATTATTTGTATGTACAAAATATATCACACATGCATAATTTGAAGGTCATTTTGAATGCAAGGTAGACTCTGATCCGTGGTATAATTTAGGGTGGCAAATTGGGATGTAAAGAAGAGGTAGAGAATTTACTGTCTTTAATCGTTGAACGGCATCAGGCTTGGGCTTTTGTTGACCGCATATTTCAAGAACTTCTTTTCTTGCTTTTTCCTGCCAATCAGTGTGGATTGCTAAGACAACAATAACCCAGGCGAGGAGGCTGTTAGTTGTCTCGTGTCCGGCAAAATGGAATGTTTTGCATTCGTCGATGATGTCTTGTACGGAAATGCGGTTTTGTTTGTCAATATGGTGATGGAGTTTGAGAAGTGATCCAAGATAATCACTCCCCAAGCTCTCTACTTTTCCAGATTCTGCCATCATGGCTTCTCTTCTTCTTATGAGCTCCGTGATTGATTCGTAAAGAGAACGTTCAATCCTGTTTGATTCCATGTCTTCATTCAGCCTCAGAAGTTTTCTGCAATATTTGTTCGGTTAGTAAGCGCTTGATTTTAACAAGTGATATCAAAGTCAGGTTCGAGTCCCAATAAGAGTAAAATAAGTGTAGTACAATTAGAGCTATCAATGTATAAGTTAGGCGGGGCAGGCTAAAACTCGTTATAAAACAGGCTTTGCAAAATAGAGCCTGCTCTGCCCTTTTGGCGGGACGGGACGGACTAGTCCAACGGGCTAAACCTATTTTGATGTCTCTAAGTATAATTAAGGTTGTCAAGCGCTTGGGGGTGGGTGAGAATTGTTGCGCGGAAGTTGGTGAAGGACGGACTAGCCCAATAGGCTAAATCCATTTTGATGACTCAAAGTACAATTAAGGTTGTCAAGGGCTTGGGGTGTGGGGGGGAATTGTTAGCGGAAGTTGGTGAATGATCAAATCCAGCACTAGGTGATTAAGGAGATTGTTGGACGAAGATATGAAGGGTCAAGTCCAACACTCTATCCCTCAAAATTAATAAGAAATTGTTGGACAGAGACCAGTCTAACACTAGATAATTAGGAGATAATTGGACAGAGACCTGATGTGGACTAGATAAGAATTTACCTAAATTATAGTTATAAGTTTAATTATATTGGTAGCTAGAGTATATTAAAGAAATTGGAGTCATACTCACTCAATGCCAAAAAATCGAGGTCTAGTAATATCTCTGATTATGTTGGCGGAAAGTCTCATCAGCATTTCAAAGATGTTTTTCCCTTCCAAATAGCTGCTTCCAAAAGCTGTCTTTGAGATCACCTCACAGGTTAAAAGCCTGAAATCTTCAGTCACTTCAATCTCCTTCCCCTTCCCTTGTTCATGTTTCCATCTCTCCAACATCTCTTCCACACTTGCAATCATGTCTGGAGCCATATCCTGAAAACCCCCACAACATTAGAACTAATCAAATAAAAATTAAACTTTGCCAATAATAGAATTAACATTGTTAGGTGGAGGCCAGAAAGGCCAAGTCCAGCAATACCAGGCGACTGGCCAGTCCAACATCCTGTTCTTTAAAGATGTGGTGTTAGTTGCTACACGTACAGGTATAAAAGAATTATAAATTTGCGTCTTTACTACTAGCTATAGTTTTTGACGTAGTGATAAGCTGTAAGCGCTTTATCTTAACAAGTGATATCAGAGCAGATGGAAGTATATTGCCTTCAAACTTTCTGCATGAAAAGCCTGGGTGGCTAGTTTTCTTAGCTTTGACCATTTGTCACTATCTGTCATTGCAAGTCCATCCCCCAACATCCTCTTTGGATCACCTTCAAGTTTAATTTTGCCGAAGGATCCCTCTTTGTTGCCTAGTATCTCCTTGATCAGCTCAGGATCAGTCACAACCATTTGTGGTTTAGGGCCAATCCAATGAACAAAGTTAGCCCCTGCATGCATATATAAACACAATTAAGAACAACTTCCAAATTGACATTTTATTTGCTTGCTTTACTACATATCGTGCTACAAGAATGAGGACATTTAGTGATAAATCTTTTATGACACTTCATAATTTAGTCACAAATTAAATAATACTCTTTTTATGACCAAAAAAATAATTCGACACTATTGTATGAGATAATTGTGATAACTTTTTTTAGGTCACAGATAATATGATAACAGTGACAAATAAGTATTTGTTACGATCATGTCAAATTGAAAGATATTTTAATTGTCTCAACTAAGAATTCACTGCTGGAAATTATGGAATTTCTGACCACCTGAAAGTGATCTTAAATCAAGTCGAAAGCCTTGTTCCGACCACTTTTGGTATCCGGAAAAACCTTTGTTGCTATTTCTGACCATTTTTTACTTTCGACTTGATTTAAGATCACTTTCAGGTGGTCGGAAATTCCATAATTTCCAGCAGTGATATTTAAAGTGATAGTAAAATTACTATTGAGCGGAGGTTAGTTGGTGAAAGACAACTGCCAAGTCCAATACCTAGTGACTAGGGGATTGTTGGGCGAGACCCTGAAGGGCCAAGTCCATCACCATACCCTGCCTCTCGAAAATGTAGTGGTATAAGAAAACAAAGTTGCGCCTTCGCTATGAGCTATATCTTTTGGCATAGTGGTAAACGTTCAAGTAATATGTGCTGGGAGTGAATTGTTTTGCGGAGGTCAGTGAAGGGTCAAGTCTAGTACGTCTACCAGATTAAGAAAAAGCAAATTAAAGACAACAAAATCATGCTAACATATAATACTTGTAACCAACGTACCATATAACTTGATCCATGAAAAGTAGTGAGGTTGCACCCTAGGCAAGATATCATGTGATATTTCCATGGCACTACTAATGGATTGCATCCTCATCTGAATTACCTCTTTGGTATTTCCATAGATAAACTTGTAAGGAGGGCCTTTGATTCCCTGTGATCGCATAGCATATCCCACCACAAATGGAACCCATATCACTTTGTATATAAATCTTGCAGCTATTAGTAAGCAGAGAGAGATGAAGAAAGATGAAACTATCATTGCAGTTGAAACTGCTATGTCCATTGCCCCTTTTGCTCACAAAATGATATATGAACTAGGATACAATTAACTCTAACCTATATACATATATAGATACCAGATACCCATTGGGATGGGAATCCCAATGGCTTTAATTTGCAGTTTTATGGTTGACATAAACTACAAAGGTAAATGCAAGTTAGGTCACAAATTAAACATCCATACGAATAATAAATAATTTGGAAAATGACAATTTTAATAATCTAAATTGAGTTGTCAAGATTGTGGGGTATAAATAAACTAATTAACTAGGCAAAATGGTAGTTTTGATCCTCTAACATTGTAAGCCCGCAAATAGTTGATTTACTCTCTCAATTATCAGACGTTATGCCATGGAACCGTGTTCACCATGAAATGGTGAACACGGTTCTAACGGTGTTAGTACACCGTTATCTTCTTTCTTTTTTTTTTTTTTAAATTAATTGCGTGACTTTTTTTTTCTTTATTTTCACATTTTGCGGTTTCACTTTAATTTGAGGTGAACAAAGATTTCGGACATTCATAAATTATGAATTCATGCCTGCACATTCACTTTGGAACCATGCCTACACATTCCCGTCCGAAATCACGGATATTCATAAATTATGAATCCATGCCTGCACATTCACTTTGGAACCATGCCTACACATTCACTTTGGAACCATGAGATTATGAATTTTCTGTTATAAGATTATGAATTTTCTGTTATGAGATTATGAATTTTCAGTTATGAGATTATGAATTTTCTGTTATGCGATTATGAATTTTCTGTTATGAGATTATGAATTTTCATTACATTCATAATTTCGGACATTCATAAATTATGAATTCATGCCTGCACATTCACTTTGGAACCATGCTTACATATTCCCGTCCGAAATTACGGACATTCATAAATTATAAATCCATGCCTGCACATTCACTTTGGAACCATGCCTACACATTCACTTTGGAACCATGAGATTATGAATTTTCTGTTATAAGATTATTAATTTTCTGTTATGAGATTATGAATTTTCAGTTGTGAGATTATGAATTTTCTGTTATGCGATTATGAATTTTCTGTTATGAGATTATGAATTTTCATAAAATTCATAATCTCATAACAGAAAATTCATAATTTGATCAAACGCGCGCCGTTAACTCCACATCCGCGAAATTTTTTTTTTTGGCCTAAAAACGACGTTGTTTTGCCTTGTATTCACCATTCTCGGTGAACACGATTCCATAGCATAATTTGCGCTCAATTATATGCATCACTGCGTTCAGTTTGACCTTTAATCGAGTTGTCAAGATTGTCCCAAAATTAGTTCTCCAAGTAACGTAGTTTGTAAATGTTAATTTTGACAATTAAATACTCAAAACTATAATTAGTTATGTTTGTAGGTTGCAATATTCTTGTAGGAAAATAGTTAATTCACTCTCTCGGTCATATGCATCATTACGTTCAGTTTGATCTTTGATTGAGTTGTCAAGATTGTGGCGGAATTAGTCCTTGAGGTGACAGAAGCGTTAATTTTAACTATTAATTAAATACTCAAAAACTATAATTACTCGTGTTTGTAGAATTTGCAATTTTCTTCTACAGTATTCAATACTCACTTTAATTTCTAAACTGTAAAATTAATTTTATTACAGAGAAAAATGTTTTAAAATATAATCTTAAGGACTTAAGTTTTTACTTTTTAACACTTAACTATCAAAATTAATATTTTCTGTCATCTTGAGGATTAAATTTGTCACAACCTCGACAACTTAGGCATTAGATACAATGAAAAATTTTGAATTGACTATATATTTTTCACAATATTGAAAAACCAAAATTACAATTTTCCCAACTAATTAAACTACTAAGCTCATTCTCATAAAAAAAAATGATCATAATTAATAGATATCATATCGTTGAAATATATTGCTATAATGTGTACGTATTTTACAGTTGATTAACTTATTATTATTGTTAATTAGTTTAACTTTTACGTATCATTCTTTTAAATTTTATTTTTAATATTAGTTTATATATGGACGACATAAACAAGGAATTAAAGGTCGGCAAGTGATCTGATAAACACCGTTGGACAACGAGAGGTTTATGCATGTCTTTCTGTGCCATTTGGAGATTTGTTTACTACAAAAGAAAGTGACAACTTAACTGAAATATGTATGTCGTTAATGATTTTATATATATACACACAACCAAACAAAGTATATATTCTTTAGTTTGACTTCATCAATTCTCTCCAGCTCTCTTTTTGTTATTTTATTTTAACGAGGTTCTAAGATTTGATATTACAATGTAATGTCTGCCCTACGATATAAATTGCTAGGTAGATTTTGATTTAATTTGTTGAGGAAAGAATATGGTGGGGGCAATCTTTATACCGTTCACCACTCACCAGGGCGCAGATTGCCTCGCGCATCCCAAAACGATGTCATTTTGTATTCTGTTATAAAATTCTGTATTTTCAGGTATAAAATTTTGTACATTCAAAATATTGGATTTTTATTCTTTTAAAAAAGATTATGTGTTTTCAGGTATAAAATTATGTGATTTTAAGGTATAAAATTCTGTGTTTTCTATTATATAATTCTGTACATTCGAAACATGAGAATTTTCAGTTATAAAATTCTGTGTTTTCTATTATATAATTCTGTACATTCGAAACATGAGAATTTTCAGTTATAAAATTATGTGTTTTCTATTATATAATTCTGTACATTCGAAACATGAGGGTTTTCCGTTATAAAAATTTTATGTTTTCAGGTATAAAATTAAGTTTTTTTTATTATTATACAATTCTGTACATTTGAAACATAAATTTTTTTAAGGGGTTAATAGTTGATACACACAAAAAGTACAAAACGACATCGTTTTGAACTAGGCCACACAATGCATTGTGCGTCCTGGTGCACGGTATAATTTGCCTCTTCGGGGTGTTATTAAGTTATGTTGGGTCTGGCCCATTGATCCAGACCCAGTTTCTTTAGTTAAAAAAATGGGCTTGTTTGGTTTTTAAGGCAATTCGAGTAGAGCCATATATGACGCAAATTATGCCCTGTAAACGTGTTTACCGTGAATAGTGAACACAAGTTCAAACAACGTCATTTTTACGCCAAAAAAAAAAAAAAAAGAAATTCGCGAA